TATCACGTACCTGGTAGGGAGGCCGAAGTGAGAGGAGGCTTCTCTTGCACCTCGTGTCTTGTGACCTTTGAGGTTGAGGACAAAGGCCAGGCAGACAGGGAGAGGCACGAGTCCTTTAGGAAAGTCCAGTAATCGAGGTCACAACGAGCCGGGGTCAAAAGCCAGGAAATCCAATTCAGTACAAGTAGGGAGCAGGCCGAAGAATATCCAAAACAGTCCGAGGTCAAAAGGCAGGCAGCAAGCAAGGATGGTCGTTTTCACAGGAACAGGTCAAATCCAGGGGAATCAGGTATATACAGGACGAGGCTAAACGGGAGACAAGGAACACGATCAAGCTGACAAGACAAACCAGCAACTAGTGGGCGTTTGAGCTGGGCTTAAATAGGGCGGTGAATCCATCTATGATGTAACTTCCTGTGCGCCTCTTGGCGTGTATTTGTTCTTAGCTGCGCCTGCGCGTATTTGTTCCCGGCTGCGCCTGCGCGTATTTGTTCCCGGCTGCGCCTGCGCGTGTTTGTTCTCCGCTGCGCATGCGCAGAGCGGGAGTTTCGCTGACAGGAGGCGACATTGCTGGAAGGCATATGACAATAATGCTACTGTCCGCTCACTCACTGATTAGACGGAATAGAAGGTGTAGGTTTTACCCCGAATATACCATTGTCATATAACACGCTGTGTATCATGTATTCTTATGCAAATTCATGATGTTGCGGGCTAAATGTCCGCCTTGGATGCTAAGCTCTTTGTATGTTTATATGTCTGTTTGTAAAAACCTTCAATAAACACTTATTGGATTAAATATGGTAAACTTTAACTTCCCAGTCCCAGTAATTATTTTATTGTTGTCTGTGTCCCTTTGGAGACATCTTCCTCAAATTCTGATCATGTGACTGAACAGTAAATAAAGTGAAATCTAACCTTTCCCCTCTATCTAAAACAACCTAAATCAAACGTTTTTTCCTGAAGTTCTATTTTAACATCATATGGAGACACATCTCTAGTCCCACCGTCCCCTGTCCCCCCATTAAATAGATTTTCCCTAATCTAGTACGTTGTGATTGTACGGGGCTAATAACAGGAATTATGACTGTATGAGGTAGACCTGGATCATGTTTCAAATGTAGATATGATATTTTCGCTACAGTGTTTCAAAAGCAAACCCCAAATCATGATAACAAAGCTCAAGTTTGTGAATAAGTCAGATGTTTTTTAAACTAGCAAATACAGAATTATCGTGTTTCACAAATGCTGTGTGTAGAATTCCTTACAGTAGGAGTGACCCTGTAATTTTTAGTCCCATCCCTGAGCTATGCAATAAACTTTGCTCTGCATTATATTCCTTGTTAATGTGTAATGTGTCTTGACATTATCTAAGTTTTTGTTTGCTTTAAATGTGTTTAAGGAACAATCAGAAGAAGATAAACCAGCAGAGCTCCAGCAACTCAGACCCATTTAAGCCTCAGCGGCAGTGGAAACAGCCACAGATACATTATGTGACCCCATCAGAGATCCTGGAGAGGGAATCACAGCGCAGATCAGTCAAACCCTCGGTCTCCCCGCTGACCCCCCAAGTCATAATTAATCCTTTACCTCAAATGCAACAGAAACTACTACCAAGCAACTCAACACAGGTATAGAGAGCAGTGTATGATCAGCCATGTCAGCTGATGAGAAAATAAAATTTGCAGTTGTTGGCTTGTTTAGTTGGAACTTGTAGTTCCTTGGCATTTAGAGTGCAGCAAATTGCTTAAGGCTAACTGGCAGGTATATACATGGTTGCAGTTGCCCATTAGCAATATGTTTACTAATGACCCTAAGATGCAACCAGATATACAGTCAGTTTAACTGTTTTACTTTTTATTTACTGCATGAAACCAAAGAATTTATTCACATCCATTTTTAAGTGTTTCACTATATTCACCGCATTGTCATCTATATTAGAAATGTATGAATGCATACCTTGTATGGCCAAGAAAACAGACATCAGTAGAAATTCATCCTAATTAACAAATCCTGATGTTAAAATATGTATGCCGCAATATATATATATCGGTAATTACAAAATATGTATGAAATGAGGATGTTTGTAATTAATGTTAAACCCTTTTCTGTGTGTTCATTTACGAACACAGCTGCATCTTTAGATCATGGCCAATGGTTTATATTGCCACTGCCGGAAGCCAGTTGAAAATTGTTGGCTGAACAGTTACTGCATCCACAGGTGTTGGATGACAGAATACAATAGCTAGCAGGGAAGATTCCTCCATCCATGTTCTTTAGTGTGGTTGGATGAATCAAGTGATATCAATCTTAAAGGACATTTCCACTTTGTAAGTGATTTTTAGTTTTTGGTGGTAATGTAGAGGTGCAGGGGGATGTACATGTGTGTGCATTCTCAGGAGTCACAAGGCTGTTTTTCATACTTTATTTTATAGACTCTTTCACAGGCCAGAGACCTAGAAATTCAGAATTTCTCCACAAGATCTTCAATCCTTCTCTCAGAGGGTCGGGTTGTTATCTCTAAACTGCAATCAGCTGATCCCCCTCCCCTCTGAGAGAGCAGAGATGTGTCATCAGCACAGCTCCTCAGTGAGCTCTGTGTGAGTCTGTGAGGGAGACACTGTATTGTCTATGTTTTATGAAGAATCTCCTACACTTGTCCTGTGTGTCTCTCTCTCGGATCTGTCCCCCTTATCTATTCTTCTCATTTACAGATATGACTGTTAGAACAGGTAAAAAGACATGGGGGAGAATTGATCAAAACTGGAGCAAACAGAATCTGGAGCCGTTTCCCAACTAATCAGCATCTCTCTTCAGTTTGCTCATGTAAGATTTGAAACTGAGTCAGAGAAGCTGATTGGTTGCCATGCAAATCTGCTCCAGATTTTGCCTGCTCCAGTTTCGATAGATCCCCCCACTGTGCAGTGTCACTGGGGATCATCCGACCCATTGTGTGATCCAGACAGAACGCTTGTGGCGGCAACCTTGGAAAGATGACCTCCTACAGAAACTTTCCACAACTTAGACAGCGAGTCCAAGGCCGAATGCTCATCGATAGCTCATTGCAGGTCCTGCAGACTATTCCAGTTACCTCCGACGCACCACTCATGCAGATGGTGACATCCACCGCAGGCCTTTAGCCAAAGACCGGTGGCGGTAACAGTCACAGCCAGGCCGGTGGTAATGCCATGTGCAAACACATTCCAGTCACTATTCATAATGCCAGTAATGTTTCAGTAGAATCCCGCCATCCTCGCTCTTTCTCCGACGCAGGTCACAGTAGCAAAAACAGCAGCAGTAGCATGTATCTCACAGCAGCTGTCACGTTGTTGGTAGCCTGCCTTTTATCTGGTCACACAGCATGACCAGTCGGTGCCAGAAGCTAGAAATCTCTTCCCCCCTCATGCTAGCAGACTGATTCAGCACGTGCACAGATGATCTAATTTTCACCAGTAAAAACTGCACTGCACTGCATTTCCAAAAATGAAATGTTCTCAGAAAAATGCACACAGGTGATCACAGAATACAGTCTCTTTAGTTGCTAGGATCATCTGAAACAAAAACTCAAAGAAAGTGACTAGGATGATCCCGGACGATGCCCATAAATGTAGCGTTCACTCCCGAAGGAGCCGCCAGAATAACCCGGGTCATCACTAGTTGTCTAGGGGTTTTGGTCTTCAGCTGCCCCATTAGCATTTAACTGCCCTATTCTAGCGCCCACAAAGCTGATATCATCTCCAGAAGTATAATGCTGAAAAACTTTTATTAACATCTTCACCAGGGAGAGAGGGATAGGGATCCTAGATATCCAGGGTAGGGTAGTATAGACATAGACTCCAGACTCACCAGACTCTTATTAGCATCTCAGTGTAAATCACATCGAATAGGAATTTGAGTAGCAGATGAGCAGGGATATGTACAGATCCTCAGCAGGAGAGACACCAGACTTGCTCCTGGGGTCCTCTATGTTCCAGGCACCTCTAGTAGCCATCAGCTTCCCTGGTTCTCCTCCTCTGACAGCACAGGCCTCCTCCATACTTGAGGAAAACACTTCCTGCACTCCAGCATCTGCCCTCCCCCAGGCCTCAGCCTAGCATGGGGGGTGGTTGGCTGGACAGCACCCAGCCCTGGACTTATTAATGGCTGGCACAAGACTAGACTGAGCACATGTTAATGCCCTCCTGTATATGTACCCTATCCCAGTATGCAACACTGGTAGAGAGAGAGAGAGGCCCAGTGATTGGCTGATGAACTGCACATACACTCACAGTGCCCCTTATTGGCTGTCCCACACTACATTAGAGTCACATTCCACCCAGGTAGGTACAACCAATGCCAGACACCTGGAATTAACCAGATAAATGCCAACTATAATCCAGCCAGACTGTCTACAGCTCTGGCAATCACAACATTTCTAGTAGCCACCTCACAAAAGGTGATGGGGCTACAAATGTTTAAAAATCAGTAACTTTTTAGCAGTTGCAGTTTATTAATCCCTGATAACATAGAATGTACAGTATGTTATATTCCTGCATGTTGAATCTTGCCATTTTTATTTATTTCCAAATAATTTGTGCATAGGATGCAATATACAGCGAGGTAATTAGAACTGAGAAGAGTTCACAGAATCCACAGATGCAGCAGGAGAGGAACTCAACCAATGAAACATTAGGTAAGGCATTGTGAACATACCTGTACAAACATTGCCAACTATGATTTTTTTATGTTTGTCCTCATTTAAAAAGAAATGCAAGTATTACTTTGAATTTACATTGTGCTTTATATACTGTATGGTAAAATCCCTAGGAATATATAGTCACCTTTACTGCTCTTCTTTTAGTTGATGGGGATTCACAGGACCTAACGACCCTCCGAGCTGGACGGGAGGTGGTAAGTATAATATCTGATGCCATTTTTTATACTTTAGAAAATCATGGAAAACATATACAGTTACAAATGGTTGGAGGTCTGGCCAAAAAAGATCTTATATTATGACCTTCTTACCAAATGTAATTTAGGTACTGCAGTGGCTTAGTGGTTAGCGCTTCTGCCTTGCACTGGGGATCCCTGGTTTAAATCCTGGCCAGGTCACTATCTGCAAGGAGTTTGTATGTTCTCCCTTTGCTTGCGTGGGTTTCCTTCCACACTCCAACACATCCTGACTCCTGCCTAAATTGGCCCTCATATGTATGCATGTGAGATAGGGACCATAGATCGTAAGCTCCTTGAGGGCAGGGACTGATGTGAATGTGCAATGTAAAGTGCTGCGTAAATTTACTATATAAATACCAGTAGTAAAGAAAAATAATAAAAAAACTTACCCACCATCATCATGTAAAAGCGACTGAGGTAGATTAAACATATGCTAATTCATGAGAGATTTAAAAATAAGAGGAACACCAAAACAACTACTTATTTTTTGGGGACTACAATCACTAACAACCAAGACGTTATGGATGCAATAGAATATCCAGAGGGAAAGTGCTCCCAATTAAAGTATCCCTTTAGTTATATATTATATAAAATCATGTTTTATAACACAAACCCATCCACGCCTACAAAAAGATAGATACCTATAATTTTTAGGTGAGTGGCTGGGAATTCAAACAGTATCATATCTATGTATCAGATCAATGGCATATCCACCTGCTGCATAAATTGGCCTGGTTAATGGTCCTCACTTATGTATCCAAATATAGGGTGAATGCCAGTGTGATATTTCAACATATTATTGTAACACTTTATCCATTGTTGCCTGCATGTTGTCTTTTCATGTTGAATGTTTTTTATACTGTAAATAGCATATATTGTAATCAACCAACAGGTAAAAGTCAATAATTAGTGAAATAAAAGAGATACAGTGTCCAAGTATGGTAGGAATGTTAGGAGGGACCCCCCCAAGTTAAAACAAAAAAATGCGTATGGACCACCCAAAATCCATACCAGGCCCTTTTAGGTCTGGTAGGAATTTTAAAGGGGAACCCCACCCTCCAAAAATGGGGAAAAAATGTGGCATCCCTCCTAACATTCCTACCAGACCCTTGATCCAAGCAAAGGCCCGGCAGGGCAAGAAAGGGGGGGGGGCGATTGAGGGCCCCCCTCCCTGTGCCTTACCAGGCCACGTGCCCTCGGCATTGGGAGACAAGGGCCTCTTCCCAACAACCCTGACCCGGTGGTTGTGGGGGTCTGCGGGAAAGGGGGCTTATCTGCATCGGGTTACCCCTTTAATTAAAGGGGCACCCAGATGCCGCCCCCCCTTGTGAATTCACTAAAGGGTTAAAATTCAAATGAAATAAACAAACCACACTTTTAGACAAAATCCTTTAATTGAAAAAAAAATTATTCCGTTAATTAAAAAAAAAAATTACTCCATCGATGTAATCCAAATGCACGACGCCCGCCGAAATAAAAAAAAAGTCCCACTGCAAAACAACTGTCTGAACCCGACAAAAACTCGCAGCAAAATGACATTCGGCACGAAAGTAAACAGATGAGCGTAGCGAGCTGTGACGTGGCTCACTCCGCCTATTTTACATTCTCACCTGCCAAATACAACATAGCATTTGGGAGCTCCCGAATGCCATTCGGGTCTGTGAGCGGAGGTGTTATAATACTTTTCAAGAATACTTTTGGACGAATTTCCGTTGCACCAAAGTGACATAAAAATGTTTTTTTTTTAAATGTCACTTTGCTGCAATGAACAGACGACACCAAAAAGAAACGACAATTCGTACAGAATACTGCTAACGAATTTCGTCCAAATCTGAATCCCGAAACTAATTGAGTTTCGGACCCGAATCCCGAAAAACAAAGTAACGCAAAATCCGAATCAAAACGAAACACATTTTTTTGCTGGTGCACATGTCTATCAACGACTATGTGTTTGTACAGTATGTTCTTCCATAGCTATTTAGTGTCCAGCCTATGCTACATCTTACATTCAGTACATGTTGATCCAAAGGAATAGTCTCCACCAATTTGCCAGTGCTGATTAACTTTGTATGCTTCCACTCAGCATCAAAAGTGTATGCTATCTATCTATATTGTACAGGACGCCAGAAGATGGATCCTGCGAGAGTTGTATATTTCCCTTTGTTCGGGTTGTGGTCCCTTTAAGGGACAGAAATGGGTTAACACCTGCTGCAGGAAGTGGGCTCAAAAGGATAGGAATCTAGAGACAGCAGAAGCGAGAGAAGCACTGATTAATGTGTGCAGACCAGGCTGTGGAGCAGACTGAAGTACTGCTGCTTTGAAACAGCTGAACTTTACTGGGAAACCCTAAGATTAAGAGTGTGATAACCTTGTGGACTGAAGCCATCCAAGCCGTTTAGGCTATTGTTATTATTTTCTGTGCTGAAGAAAGCAAACGGTAAAGTTTATAATTTCTATGCTAAAAAAAACAATCTTTTAAGTTGTTTTGCTGTACTGAAGAAAGAAAGGACTGTTTATGTTGCTGCTGTGGAAAATAAATGCAGTTTGTCTGATAAAGCCTGTGTCCTGCGTTCCAGATAATTCCCCAAACATCAAAATATTCCCCAAACATAGTGGAGAATGCGGGCAGGACACTGTTACAGGCACAGGAATTGTATTTAATGCAAACTGACATTTAAAGAGACAGTGTACCTGGTTTATGTCAAGACTGGTCTTTGAGCGCTCGCCATTTGAACACCACTTGTGACATTGGGGAATTTAGCACAAATGGCGAGCTCTCAAAGACCAGTCTTGAAGCAGTTTTAAACATAAACAGAACAGTCTTTTATTGCTTCCAGAGCAGAAAGATAACTTAATTAACCATAATACACGGTCCGCTTGTATTACAGCAAACAGAACACATAGTCTCACCAACTCCAGGTTGTCACACATACTCCATGTGTAAGCGGCTCTCTCAACCTCCTCGGCTGTCTTCCTGTGCCTCCACCTGGCTCCCCTCTGCCTTCTGCCTTCTGGGAGGAATCCTCCTGACTCCTGAACATTACTGTTCCTCTTCCCAGCTGGAGCCCAGAACCTTAGCCAGCACCCTTCCCATAAGTGCTGTGCACAGGTGTGCAATTAAGTGCTGGCCCCTATTAAACAATGGACCCAGCTGTCAGCTGTGTGACGGTAACAGCATATCCAATCCGCCACACAGCTGACACTATTTTATTCTACAGGGTCTCTGCTTTCAGAAAATATATCATTCTGAGAGGGTGGGGGGTGTTAAGTAATCTTTAGGCCTAAAATGTCCATTTTAACATGTGCAAAAAAAAAGCAAAACTGCTCTTGCAGGGAAAATGTTAAAGAAAACATGTCATAAGATAAATACATAGGTTGCTATCGCTAATCTTAAGGTAAATATACCTGTTGTGCCATGCTGTTTTGCTGATCCTCTGGTTTCAGTACTTTGAATTCTCTGGCTGTATAACTCTTTACAGTCGGTGACTTATAGTGAATTTGTCATTCCTGATATCCAATGCAAGGGAATCTGCCATACAACCATGCAAATAGCATTTTTAGAGGGAGATAAGCAATTATATATATCCTATATAGCTGTCATGTAAAATTCCCCTGCCCCACTTTTATTAAACTATACCCCCTTTTCTATCTAACTTATTGATGTAGCCATTAAATCAGTAGTCGTGTGAGTCTTGAGTCTTCTTGCTTCTTCACAGCAGAATGTTAGGGTCTTCTGTCAGTTGTCCACGTCACAGCCTGGTTGATATCTACACTTCTTATTGGCTGTCAAGCAGGGGGGTCATCTCAGGTCTTGAGGACTGTAGTAGCATGATGACTGTAGTAGATGATCACAACAGGGGGACCAGTCGGCATGGGCACATGCTGCAGCACTGGATCATGAAATACAGAGGGATACTTGACAGCAGAATCATTTGAGTTTAAAACTGCTGCTTGACAATTATATATTTTTTAATGTAAATAAATGAAAGCAGTGGGAGGGGGGGGTTAGATTAGTTTTAAAAAACCTGTGTTTCATGCACCGTGTTTTTGTCATTTTGGTATTTGTGTGCTGCACAGGATCTACTGAATCACTGCTTTGATGACATTGAAAGTTTCATGGGAAAGCTCCAGAAATCAGCTGAGGCTTTTAAAGTCCTCAACCAAAGAAAAAAATCAAGAAGAAGCAAGAAACCCGAAGCTGGAGGTAAATTTAATCGATAAACACTGCGTACCTGTGTAAGTTATGCAAAGGTTTACATAAAGGGAATATTAGAGAATAAATAACAGACTTAACTTGACAGAGTTAATTAATAGACTTATCTTGACAAAAGACCTGACTGAAAGCGGAATATTGATTAAAATAAAAAAAAAGTAATTTATTAAAAGCTTAGCTTATTTTAACCAGTTCAAGATTGTACCCAATTTTCCAGTACTGACAGCTAATACGCTTCCAAGTTACTCAACCTATTACAAACTATGTATGTCTGTATCCCCTACTTCTCCTCTTTCTCCATAAAGGCATACTGATTGAGAGCCTGGTTTACTGTATATTGTACAATGTAGATCACTGTTTTAGTTTCATCATATTTGTTTTTAAAGTCTAAACTTTTATTTTAGTTTTGGATAGGTTATGGAATGGTTGGAACGTCTGCCTGGTTTTTACCTGCCTGCCTGCTGTCTGTATCTATCTTGGGGAGATTTACCCTTTCTATGTGCCCATGGGTTCCATACCTTCTATACTCTATCCAAAACTAAAAACAAAACGTTTTGGTTTTATATATATGTTAGTTCTTTTTTACTTACAAATATTAAAATGTTTCACATTATCCTGGCAAATAATGGGAGAACCATTATTTGTGATAATTCTAATATTATAATCAGGTGAGGATATGTATCTATTCTGAGAATAAATAGTTCTAGTGGAGTAAATTCAAATGAATTCAATCTTGACTCGTGCACAGAAATTTTGCTTTAGTGTGATTGAATGATTGAAGTTAACAAAGTGTCATCAATTTTAACATTACTTTACATCTTAAAGTTTTTCACTTTTGAATTTCACATTATATAAGTTTTTGGTTACGATATGTTTGCATTGAAATACTTACGAAAATTCAGCAGATCCTTAGGCAGGCTATGGTTTTAGTAGTGCAGTGTTTTATTTTTAAGTTTACAAAGGTACAGAACAAGTAGTAAGAGTAAATGATAGATACACATGTGGCTCCCAGCATGGACCGTGTTTATATAGACAAGACATTGCACAAAAGAGTAAAGGGCACCCATACACAGCTAATATTTTTAGTGGTGATTGCAGGGCCCACTGGCTCATATTCAAGCCTTCTATGGGGATCCTAACACTCAATAAATGACATAGTATTACTTTGGAAAAAAGACAGCGAAGGCCTCATCTTCAACAACTATGGAGAATGGCTGATGGGAGTTCATAATGAATGGTTGTAATCAGGGGCGTCCCGAGGCTGGGTGGCACCCAGAGCGGTTACCGGGTGTCACTCCGCCGTGACGTCACCACGCACGTGCTGACGTCATCACGCATGCGCGGCGCTCTTCTTGATACCTGCCGGCAGCCATCTTAGTGATGGACGCCAGCAGAGAGAGGAGGGGGCAGTCACCCGGCGAGATAAGTTATGCCGCTGGGTCCCCTCCTCTCTCCTGATACTGTTGGGCACTCGGTCCATGACTGAGTGCCCGACTTTTCAGAGGGGGGTGACACCAAAATGACTGACAGTCATTTTGGTGTCACCCCTCCAATGGTGTCACCCGGGTGCGGGCCGCACCACCCGCACCCCCCTTGTGACGCCACTGGTTGTAATCAAGTGCGCCATGTGTGTGAGTGGAAAACACAGTACTTTATGATCTTTAGTTTACACTCATATGTTGCAGCAAGTTTTAGCAGCCATTTTACATGTTCTCATTGTCTGCCAAAGAATCTCCAGAGGTTATACACAAAAATGTAATGCTCTTGCTAATAAAACCCTCAATAATGGATTTTTATACAGTATGGAGAATTAAAATGTGAGGTTAATACCATTATTTGCCTTTGAAATGGAGACCCAAAGATATTCAAAAATACACAAAATGATTCAGCTTGCCAACAACCATATAGAGCCAAAATATCAGTTTATGGTGGGCTGGCTTTTAACAATAAATGTTTAAGGGTAATGTAAGGTAAGACCTAACATATCTAATGTCTTATTTGTTTCTGTTTTTTCACAGAGGGTCTACTGACACTCAGAGCAAAGCCTCCAAAGCTGGAGGAGTATGAAGATGCTGTCCAGAAATTTAAATACTGCTTCTGCTTATTGGTATGACAGAAATACACATGTTTAAAGGGATATATTTCTATTTCATTTTACTGGTGTTTACCAATTTTTCCTTGTGATTCTTTCACCAGGCAAGACTTAGAAGTAATATTATGAATCCGAGTTCCGTGGAGCTTGTTCACTTTTTATTTGGACCACTTAAAACGGTAAGAAAAGGCTAAAGGTATTCAGGAACCTTTACACTTTAGCACAACATGAATATTTTGCACCCCAAAGTGCATCCATAGACCAATAATACTTGAAAGACTGCCCAGTCTTTGAATCTCCAGGTCTGCTCCTGTTGCTCTCTTACGATAGTGGGCAGGTGGGTGTGGCTAATTTGAATGAGGGTTGTGTCTTATTGTGAATTGTATTTCAGGTTTCATTGGCTCCTACTGTACTTGTGATGCACCACACAGAGCACAAATTGTTACCATGCACTGTGGTATTGCATGATAAAACACTTATTATCTCAATGCAAAGGTTTGATGGGGTTCTATAGGCCAATTTACTTTCAAATAACTTATACCTAGTAATCCTTTTCCCCATAAATCAGGTCACTTACCATGTTGGGAAGTTCCAGAAGCCTTCATGCAGGTTTACTTCTTCAGGTCAGAATTATTGATTAGTATTGCTTCTGACCTGAAGAAGAGAGATAATTCTCGAAAGCTTGTCTTTTATATATTTTGTTAGTCCAATAAGAAAGGTATCATCGCATACTACAATACTCCAGTTTTTTACATCATCTTTTTTTTACATATATATATATAT